TCAGGGAAGGGATCTGCGCCCGCGAGCCCCGCAGAGCCACCGCCAAGGCTGCAGCGGGCCCTGGTGTGAAAGCGATACCGCGGGCCGTGGGGAAACTGGGGAGAGCCCGGCCAGCACTGAAGGGGGTTTTCTGAGAGTGTGAGGGTGCACAACTGGAACAGATAGTTAATAGTACAACAACAAAGCCGCTGATTTACAGGCCCCTAGAGAAGGAAAACAGAAGATCAGTGGGCGGCTGGGGGTTGCCGAAACCGACTTGATACCCACGGTGGGAGTAAAGGCGTTTTAAGGCTTTCTGGGAAAGGTGAAGGTTAGGCAGCTTTCAGGGAGAGGGGATTTCTCTCTGCCATGCTTGCAGGTCAAGAAGTAGGCTGTGAGGCTGGGTGCCTCTGAACGCTCCTGCAAGGGGGCCGGCAGCAAGGGCAACGCTGCAGCCTCTTCTGGCCGCACACCTGCCAGATGCTGTCTGGACTCCTCGGATGGAGCAGGGCACAGAAAACAAGGTCAGGAATTTAGGGCTGTAATTTGCAGGACTGAGCAGGCCCCTGAGGATACAAAATGCGCATGGAGTATTATTTTAGAGGAGCAGCCAGCTGGATGGCTGGGACATGCCAGCTATACACCAAGGTGGTTCAGAGCTAGATCTGTGCTTGTGCTGCCTCCCGCGTTTCTGGGATGTCCTTTCTCGTGTCTGCTGAACACTCCTGCTGCAGATGTGTCTAGCAGGGGCGATGCTCCCCTCCTGCCTGCAGGGTGCAAACTCTGCAAGTCAGCCCACTGTCACTGGAGGAAAGAAAATAGCACCTGCATTACTAGGTCACGTTCAAGGAGCTGCAGGCATGAAACAACAGCTTTAATCCGCTTTGCTTGCCAGCAGCTGGCCTTTAATTGAAGCAGTCTGGTTGGCCCAGGGAGGCTGGCTCAGCAGCTTGCTGGGCCATCCAAGAAGGAGCCTGGCATGGTGTCATGCCCTGGGGCATGGCAGCGATGCTCAGGACAGTTTGTGGCCATGGGTTGGTGCTGGTGCTAGTTCTGGGGCTGGGGCTCTTTCCCCGATGTTCTCGGCAGTGCCAGTGCTCAGCCCTGGAAGCGCCTTTCCTGACTCATAGGAAGGACTGAAGACGAAGAAGAACCAGCCCAGCAAAGGGAGGCTGCTCTGTGTGTGTGTGTGTGTGTGTGAGATGGTGTGTGCAAACCTGGGGCTCCAGGTGAGATGCTTTGGGTACCAGCTGCCTAGGGGATGCTGCCCTGTGCAGCCCTCGGAGAGCAGGAGGGCAAGATGGGTTCCCTTCCGGATGTGCAGGGGATAAAAACTGAGTGTGTTACACTCCCAGGTGAAACCAGGGTCTCCCTTCTGGTCCTGGGGGACTGAAGGGCAACACCGCTGTGCACAGGCGGCAGCACTTACTTTGAGAGCTGGTGTGTTTGCTCGGGTCTTCCAGGAACAAGGAAGTTGGCAATGATCCTTCAGCTCTGCTCAATGAGCAAGGTGCGTTTCCTCTAGCACCCGCCACGCAAGCGTGCATGCATAAGGACAGAAAATTCCCTAGTGAGACACTGCTGCGCATGCTGGGGAGAGGGCAGGAGGGACCCCATGACGTTCCTTAGTCACGCTGTTTGCTGCAACAAGTGGAAGTGTCTGGGGCAGCAATGAGTGAGCTGTGAAAACCCCTCTAGAAGGGATGGGGCTGACTGCAGTGGAGAAGAGGGAGCTGTTTTGTTCGAGGGGCACAGTTGGTTCCTCTTGAGCGTCTTTGGGCTTGGACTACCTCTGAGCAGACGTTGAGGGTAGGGTTAGAGGTGGCTCCAGCACGCTGAAGGAAGGACAATGCTTGTGCCCCCTTCACCTCTCTGGGAAGTCTGTCTCGATGGATTAGGCAGTGAGCTGTGGCAGGCTGGGGATGCCCTGGCAGGGTCCCGTGGTGGTTTTGGCTCCAGACGGTGTGAGTTGCTACCCGCTGGCCCGTGTCGGGTCGTGCCCCTGCTCCTGGGCTTTTGGAAGCCCCTGCAGGGTCCAGCCCATCGCTTTGCAATGCTGGGTCCTCTGCTGTGGCCCCCCGCATCCGCTCTGCACCTGCAGGTCCCTCAGCCCCGCTCTGAGCCCTGCCTTGGCTGCATCCCGTGGATCGCTCGGAGAGGGGCAGGGTGGCTGGGCTCGCACAGCAGCTGGGGAAAACCTCGGGCCTGGGGCCTGGGGCAGCCCCTTCGGAGGCTGAGAGAGGCTGGAAAATCTCCTTGAGAAGGCTCTTTTACTCTTCTTGGCTTCTGAAGAATATGAGTCACGGGCTGAACAATTCCCTTCCCCTCTGCCCCCACACACCCAAAATCCCCTGAGCGGGACCTGCAGCAAATACTGATTCAGAAATTCATGGTATGAGGGCACTGCAGAGTCAGATGCATATATATATATACATATATATATAATTTTTTTCCCACTGCTTAGCGATGAGGAGGAACGTGGAGGAAGGGAGAGCATGCCCAGGCGCTCTGCTCTGATCCAGCCCCTTTGCTAGAAGTCTCCGGCAGTTTCCTGCTGGCGAGCAGCCCCGGACCCCGGCGGGACCCGCTGTCTGCGGTCGCTGGCGGCCCCAGCTGAGATGCTGGGGCTGGACGGGTTGTTGA